TCAGCAGGCTAGATGGGATTCTCTCCATTTTGTTGGTAGGGAAACTGAGGCTCAGAGAAGTTGGCCAGTTAGGCACTAGTTGCTAAGTAATGGAGACTCAAAGCCACTATGGCGGTGTGGGGAGTCCTTCTCAAACTGCTTGACCTGAGGCCGCCTGCCTGGTCTGTACACTGCAGGTCTGAAGTGCAGCCTTCGCCCGAGGAACACGCTGCAGCCTCCTTGACACATTCACTTGCTGGTGTCTGACTCCTTACAGTGACCTCTTTCTGTTCTTAGCGAGAAGCGTTTGGTGCCTTCCTCTGGTGCTGTAGTTCACTGGCCTTCAGTCACCTGCGATCCTCTTTAGGGTGGAAGAGGCCACTACCCAGATCAATTAAAACTGGTCAGGGCAGCAAAGGCCTTATGCCTTTGTCAGCCTCCATCCAGCCCACTGCCTCTGTCCTGTGCCCACAGTTCTCAGCGATAGCTACAGTGGGTGACATAGAACTGTTCTAGAAATATCTGCACACCCCTGGGTATCCCCTCGCTTTCTCTTTGGGGTGTCAAAGAGACACGCATGGACGTAAAAAAGTTACCTGGGGCCAGTGAGTGGCATGGTAGTTAAGGCACTAGGCACCCAAGTGGTCGACAGCTGTTCAAGTCCTGGACCTGGCGGCTTGAAAAATCATGCTGGGCATGTGTCGGTGCATGCCCAAAATCCCAGGAGGAGAATGGAGAAGGGATTGTGGCGTGGCCATCTCTCACTAGGGAGTGATTTCTCACTTTCCCTCTCACTGTCTCTTTCTCTCTAATGAGTGCACATGTCCTATGGCAAAAAACCTAAAAAAAGAAAGTTATCTAATAAAATACTTGCTTTTTGAAAGATTTTCTTGAATTAAAAAACCCTGTTTTAGAGTGTCATTTCCTTGGTAACATACTACCTGGGTGATTGTGTCACGTGGTCACAGGGGTGCCCAAATTCCAGTGTTGCTTTTGGGGGCTCTCTGTCCAGACCCCCTTCCCAGCTACTTGGCACTTAGCCTTTAAGCACCCAAGCACTATTTTCTCTTCTGAGTCTGATGAAAATCTTTTAAAACCACATCGTACTTCCTGGCCCTCTTAGAGCAAGGAGGGATGATTTCATCTTTTTCTTGTAATTTAAAGACTCAGTACAACCCGAGAAAACGCAGACCATCCTCATGGAGGGGCCGTGAGGGGCAGAAGGCCGTTCCCCTGGTCAGAGCCAGCCCAGACTACACACTCCAATGTTTTCATCGGTGGCAGCTGGCGCGTGTTGCTGTGTCCGCCCTTACTGGCTTTGCCTTGAGCCCTGTCCCATCTCCCACCCCACCCTTGTTACTGTAATGGCCGATAGCTGCCATGAGCTGGGAAACCAGAGAGCCACGGCCATGAACAGAGATGGCTGTCTGTGGAAGGGGTCTTTGAAGAACCCACGAGCTGCAGTGGTGGGCTTCCCCTCCACTTGGCCTGCCTAGAGCAGGAGTGATCCTGGGTGGCCCCAACACGGTCTTGAGGTGCTCGTTCAGATCACTACTGTTGCATAACAACACCCTGGAAGTGGTGGCTTCACACAGTAACAGTTACTTATTTTCCTCACAAATTTCTAACTTGAACAAAGCTTATCAGTCAGAGGATTCCATCTGCTCCATGTGAGGCCGCCCAGGGAGGCTGGACTGGGTGTGAGGCTTCGTTCCCAAGGTGGCCCACTCACTGGGGGCCAGTAGATGCTGGCTGTTGACTGGCACTCAGCTGGCTGAGGGCCGGGGGTGGTCCCAGTGGGTCTCCATGTGGCCTGGGCCTCCTCCAGCATGGCGACTGTGTTCCCAGGGCGAGCATCCCTAGAGGGAGAGCCGGTGGAAGCCGCGTGGCCTTTTATGAGCTAGGCTCAGAAGTAAAGCACCACTCCATCCAGCTGGGCCAGTCCAGGTGGCCACAAAAGCCCTCGAGCTTCAGGAGAGGGGCATAGAGCTTACCTCTCGCCAGGGGAGAGGCAGATTCCTAGAGGAGGTGGGATGACAACGATTGTCGTGTTTTGGGAAAGTAGCCTGTGCTGCAGCGCTCCTACACCGCTGTTGTGACTGCGTGCTTCCCGTTGCAGGTCAGCGGGAGGGTTCTTCGGCCGTTTTTAAATTAATTTTGTGGTTTGAGCCAATGAAGACCCACTCCTATCCCTGTTGGTTTTATTTTATTTTGGGGAGATGCCTTTAAAATAGTAACATGCTTCTGAAAATCAGAGGTGTACAAAGGCATATTCAGAAAAGATTTGTTTTCCCTGCTCCCTTCCCTCCTCCATTCCTTCTCGCCTCTGTAGTGAACCAATCTCTCTAGATTTTCCTTTCTGTATTTCTGTTTCTGTATTTCCTCTTCTGTCTGACTCAAAGGATAGTATAATGTGGATATTCTTTTTTTCACTGCTTTTTTCACTTTTATTCTGGAAATCATCACATATCAGTTCTTAGATGCTGGCCCCCACCCACCCTGCTTCTTTTTTAAACAGCTGGAAAGTACTTAATTGCATGGGCGTTGTATAATTTTATCAGCCTTGCTCCTCTCTGGGCATATAGGTTGTTTTAAATATTTTGTTAGTACATCGGTGCTGCGGTGAATAGCTTGGTGAGTGTATATTTTTGTAATGTTGGAGGTGTGCCTTCTGCAGGAAATCTTAGAAGTAGGTCAGAGGGTGAATGCATAAGTAGTTGTAGAGGATGTTGTGACGTCCCCACCGTGAAGTTTGCACCAAAGTTCATTTCCACCAGGAAGAGATGGCAGTGCCCATTTCCCCACAGTCTTGCCAAATGTGGACCTTCTGGATGCTGTTGCTCATCCCTCCTGCCAGAGTCAGGCTCTTTCTTTCTTCTTCTTTTTTGTTTGTTTGTTTGTTTGTTTAATTTGCTAGAGGGCATGTACACTTGCTATAGAACAGAGAGAGAGAGAGAGAAATAAAGTGAGAAATCACCCCTTGTGGGGGGGTAGTCATACCATAATCCTTCTCCTCCTTTTCTCCTTTCAAGATTTTGGACACACACACACGTGTGCTTGGCATGTTTTTTAAGCTTCTGGGTCCAAGACTCAAACTGCACAATCAGCCATATGGAAATCAGCTGCCTTAACCACCAGGCCACAGGCTGGCCCATGTCATTTCTTAGTGTCCATGTGGCCTCAGATATCATGAGTCCAAGACGGACTCCAGAAGTTCAGACACAAGAAACCTTCAGCATCTCTTCTCACTGCACTGTCTGGTCTTCGTTATGGTCAGTCACCACCAGATACTTGCCTGGGTGGCGTGTCCCTTCCTCCTGTCTAGAAGGGGCTGGGCACATGGCTCTAGCCTTTACCCCAATTCCACCCTGTGCTGCCTCTGATAGGCCATGAACAGAGCCTGAGGGTTCTAGTCTCATGGCAACTTCCAAATACTAGGCCCCCTTTCTCCTTTGTCACCCCATGCTAGACAAGGAAGACAATGGTCAGGAGGCACTTGGGGCATCATTAGGTCAATAGGCTCAGATCCAAACCAATTTTAGAAATATCTGGTGATATAATTAGTAAATACACTTGGGGCGTTGTTAGGTCACTGGTGCTCACATCCAAACCAATTTTAGAAATAGCTGGTGATGTAATTAATAAATGTAGACTAGATTTGTTTGATTTTTCTTTTGTTTCCGCTTTTTAGAATTACTTCATTGGGAACCAGCAGTTAGCATAATGGCTATGTCGCTGGACTCCCACGTAGTCGAACGCGGTTCGTGTCCCGGACCCGGTGGCTTAAAACTCACGGTCTCTATGTCTCTCTCTGTCTGTCTGGCGAGCGCACGCGCCCTACAGTGAAAAAAAAAATTTTT